GGAAACCTCTCTCTAACGCGTTTTAAAAACCTTGAGGGGAAACCTAGAAAGGAAAGTCCAAAGAGGACAATATCTGCTGGCGGTGGGCTTGGACTGTTACAATTTTTGTGCGTGAACTCGCATCATAAATGCTTTTCTTTCGTTAGCGACTTTCTTTCAAAACATATCAATCAGATTTTCTTAAAAAGATTTCAAATATTTTTACTGCCGACTGATTGTGATTACAATATTTGTTATGGAACTTCTGTGCAGTTGTAGACTAGCTAGTACGATAAGATATCAACCTCCTTTTTTCTTAAAAAAAAAAAAAAAAATTATTATCGTTATATATTTATTTCTGATTCTTGTATTCTTATAGTGTGAAGATCTGGCAATGTTCCTGTGAAGAGTTATTAGCATCTTCAGACACTAATTTTGCTTCATTTTCCCTATTGAAGGAGGTATTGGTCATTTCATTAAACCACTTCTTTTTCCGTTTTTTAAATATTTTATTTTACTTCATTCATTAAAATTGGTTATTTCTTTGCAGGTCATCAGTGGTGGAGGAGTGCCAACTCTACTTTCACTCAATTTGCCCAATTCAGCCGTGCATAAGCTGTTTTTGGCCATTGGCAGAGGATCTGGATCACTTGAAATAAGGATATTTAACCTATCTAGCAGTGAATTTGATAGCGTTAGGTCGTATGAAGCACATGATCACGTCGTAAGTCTTTTGTCCATTGATGAAAATACTTGATAACTAGTGCACAACTTAACACATCTGATTTTTTTCCAGGTTACCGGTGCAGCTTGGGCATTTGATGGACGTTATTTGTTCACCTGCAGTGAGGTATTGAAATTCATAGGATGTATGTTGTCTGGCAAATGGAGGCTAATTTAAGGGCGTTTTTGTGAGATCCCACGTCGGTTGGAGAGGAGAACAAAACATTCTTTGTAAGGGTGTGGAAACCTCTCCCTAACAGATGCATTTGAAAAACCTTGAGAGCCCGAAATGAAAAGCCTAAAGAGACAATATCTACTAGCGGTGGGCTTGGGCTATTACAGTATTACTTAGTGACTTGTACATCAAATCAAACAAGGGAAGTATTTACTAAAGGATATATATTATATGCGCATGTTCATATATTAAACAACAATTAAACGTGAAGAAGAAAGGAATGATATAGAAAGAAAAAGCTAGCATAGGAAATTCTGAGTATGTTTCATAATTACGAACCTGTTAGCCAATGTTTAGCCACAGTATGGGAGAAATATTTTTCAATTTTGCGGTAAATTTTCAACTCATCTATCACAAAATGGGATAAATATTTTGTTCGTCACAGGATAATATTCTCCAAGGTTGGAGTTTAGATGAGAGTTCTCTCCGCGAAGTACCCATTTCATCACGTATCCCTGATCTTGGAAACTCCATTGATGTAAGAGATTGCCTTATGTGTCTACGTTTTGAGAACCACATTTTCTGTTCTGTGTTATGAAGGGGATATGTATTTGCAGCTTCCAGATTCATTTCGGTCGTGCTTTGGCCTTGCAGTGTCCCCGGGAAATCTTGTGGCTGCCGTGGTATGTGATACGACATTAAGTCTTTCAGTTTCTATCTGAGTTTCTCTTCTAGTTTCTTTCACCATAACAATCCTCGAGCTGAGTATGGCCGTGTAAATAAAAAGATCGTCCTCCTTTTGACTTGTACCAGGCAGCTATGGGGTCGCCTGGTGGGGTTTGACCCACGGGCTCTAACGGCCCCCCACCCCCAACCAAAAGAAAAACACCCCCGCTCCCATGTTCCTAAGAACTAACTCCACGAATAGCATAATTCTTTCTATATGTTTTGCAATGACTGTATATACATCATGAATATATTACAAAATACAAGTATTTGTTTCTACAGGTTCGCAACTTTGATCTCGAATCACTTGATCGAATGTACCAAGCAAGGTAGAGGGTTTGTTTTAGGTTTTGTAAATGGTTGGAGCATCTGATATGTCATGCTTGATCTTCATCTATGATATGCATGATTAATCTTTTCAGGTCTCAGAAAGCTGCTATTCAATTCTTCTGGATTGGAGAAGAAATACAAGCCGTGCCAAATAGTTCTTCTTACTTTTATACTGAAACAATTACAGACATTTCTAAGAAGGAATTGGTTCAATGGGAATCCAGTATGTTGTGGTCGTTAAATCAGTTTAAAAATTTGAACAAGCCTATGGTTCTTTGGGATGTTGTAGCTGCTTTGCTGGCTTTCAGGCAGTCCATACCAGAATTCGTTGACCACATTCTACTCAAGTGGCTTTCAACGTCATATCTCGAATGGAACGAGGAGTTCTCTGCTACAAAGATTTTGTCACACATCTCGAGAAATGTGTCGACATATTCTACTCGCCAACTTCACCTCCTTAACGTTATTTGTAGACGTGTAGTTCTGTCAGAACTTGTACAGGATCAAGTGAACAATGACCTGCAGGATTTGGAAAGACTCAACGATGCTGAAAATGATAAACATATTTTGTGGAAGGAGTTGCTTTTAAGCAGTGAAAGAGAACTCCGTCAGAGGCTAATCGGTCTATGTTTTTCTTCTTGTGCAAAGCTTCGTGCCTTGTCGTGTACTGAATATCGACCTGGGTTCTGGTATCCCATTGGATTAGTGGAAATGCAGCAGTGGATTAGATATAATCACGAACATGTACAGGAATCGCTAAATGCCATTGCATCGAAAGAGGGAAAAGACCATTCGAGGTATTGTATTTTTTTTTTTTTTTGGGTCTAGTTTCCTGATTAATTTCTTAGTTTCCTTTGGTAGATCTAGTTGAGTTGTCCTGATCTGTAAGGCTGCTTTGAATTCCATAGATCGAGATGAAATAATATGTTGTAAGCATGAATCCCATATAAGTTGGAGAGCGGATCGAAGCATCAATTCTTTTAAGGGTTATGAAAACTTCTTCCTAGCAGATGCGTTTTAAAACCTTGAGAGGAAGACAGAAAGAGAGCCCAAAAAGAACAATATTTGCTAGCGGCGGGCTTGGGCTCTTACAAATGGTATCAAGGCCTGTCATCGAGTGGTGTACCAACGAGGACGCAAGGCCCTCAAAAAGTGAATTGTGAGATCCCATATCGGTTGGAGAGGGAAACGAAACATTCATTATAAGGGTGTGGAAACCTCTTCCTAGCAGACGCATTTTAAAACCTCGAGGGGACGTCTAGAATGGAAAGCCCAAATAGGACAATATCTGTTAGCGGTGGGCTTGGGCTGTTATAACGGATAAACTTAAATATGTTCCTCCCGAACGAACATTGTTTCTTTTCTTAGGATTCTCAAGTAAGAACTATATTAATAGCTCAGAATTTTGAGGTATGCCATTCTGGTTTTCTAGGTTTTAGGGACAGGTACAACCAACAAGGCAACTTGGATTAATGTTGAGTAATATGCCAAAAGAATATCAGATTTAAAATGCTTTCTCGATATACTTCTCCGCTTACGCGTTTACTTCGCCCACTTTTCTATCATGGCCATTTTCTCGTGACTTCTCTGCTCGAAATTTCGTGTTCCTCATTCCATCTAGAACTAAGCTTTCTTAACAAAACCTGTGAATCTCAATCATCTATTTGCCAGCAATATACTTCATAACTCTACTCTATTGTGCCTTGATCCAGTGAACATTCAGCAACGGAGCAGTGTACCTACTGTTCAGCATCGGTTCCATTCGAGTCTCCAGAACTCGGGTTTTGCCAGGGCGATAAGAACAATCCAAACGTCGGTCAGAGTCACAAGCTAGTAAGGTGTTCTGTATCAATGCAGGTCTGCCCTGTTACTGCTCCCTTATGGTTCTGCATGTGTTGTAGTAGAAGTGCCTTCAGATTAGCTCCTGATATACTTTTTCAGATGTCCGACACTCCTGACTTTAGTTCTTTAACACTCCCTGATTCGGACATACCCTCGAAACCGTTGTGCCCCTTTTGTGGTATACTGCTGCAACGTCGACAGCCCGACTTCTTACTGTCAGCATGCCTGGTTTAAGAAAGCATGCCGTTTTGTCAGTGCCTTGAAGCTTGTTGTATATAGTTGGTGATAATAGCTAAGAATCATACAAGGGCAAGCAGCATAAGTTAACCCAAATGATTTAGATTGTTGTTGTGATGGTAGTATAGTCATAAGCTTGGAATAGTCAAATTATTTACAAATTATGTAGGCTGAAACTTCAAGCAGATATTTAGTGTATATACAGTTCCGTTGAAATGATTAAATGTAAGTATAACTCTACTGATCGACTCATACTTTTTAGTTTAGCGGTGATTTAAGTTGATATTTTCGTGAGAGATCGTGTATATCTTGTCGTTTTTTACAATTATTTTTTCCTTTAACAACTTTAATTAAGGGTGGATGGTTGAATTAAATGTGAGATCCCACTTCGGAGGAGAAAGTATTCTTATAAGAGTGTGGAAATCTCTCCACCTCGAAAGGGAAAGCTCAAAGAGAGAAAGTCTAAACAGAACAAATATTTGTTAACCGTGAACTTGAACCGTTACATAATATAATTGATCTAGAAGACTATTATTGAAAATAAATATTTAGTTATTAAAAAATTTAATTTGAATACTTAAATTTTAGATTTTAATTGGACTTTTCTTGGTTTTTTTTTTTTCATTTATTTTAAACCTAATAAAAATAAATAAATAAAAGGGAAAAATTCTAATTTTAATAAAATAAATTATTTTTTTAATTAAAGTTGTTAAAGAAAATAAATACAAATTTAATCAATAATCAATTATTGTGATTACTTAATCTCAAAATTTTCACAAATTTTAAAATTTTATTAAACATAAAATTCAAATTATCTTAAAAAATTTATTAGTTTATTATACATAAAATTTAAAAATTGAAATAGATATAGTTTCGAAATCAAATTATAAATAAAAAATTCATAGCCCTGTAATTATAATCGAATACTACATTAAATTGCCGTTGTTGTTCACCGTTCCCTCTCCAGCATTTGGCGGCTGGAGCTTTTCGCTTCTCCCACACGTCAATGCATGAAGGAATTGTGGTTAGCCACCAACCCTAGTTTTCCTTAGTGCGAGTTCGTCGTGTCTGTGACTCTGTAGCCTGTAAATATCGCAGATCTTTGAGAAGAGCTTAACAATTCCACCACGCTTATGGTTCCGCCGCAACGCGATCATTACAATAATACGATTAATTTAATACTCAGTGGGTTCAGTTCGTTGGCAATGGAGCTCGCTAATGCCCTCATTAATGGCGAAAGTAACGCCCCATTTCAATTGGGACACGTTGTCAACGAGTTCCCATTTATTCCAAGACCCTTAACTTGAAAGAGGGGCCAAACAGGCGACTAAATATTACCTAATTTATCCACTCTCTTCAGTCTTCACCAACTCTCTGAGCTGCGATTTTAGGGTTTGAAGAGAGAAGCGAGAAGAAATGAAGGTACCCAGAAGGCCGATTCATGCTATTACGCTATGGGTTCGGCGGCAACCCCTGAAGATGAAAGCGTTTTTGGGAGTTTTATCGACGATTATCTCTCTTGTTCTTCTTTATGTGATGGTTCACGATCATAACAAACTCTTTGTGGCCGCTGAGGCTGTTCATGCCATCGGAATTGCTGTTCTTATTTATAAGCTCATGAAGGAGAGGAGTTGTGCAGGTGTGATTTCGATAGCTTTTTGGTCTATAATTCCATTTGTTTTGCTTTTGATTTGATCAGTGCTGCTTAATTGAGTGTTTTTCGAGCTTGATCTTAAGTAGTTAATGATGGAATTGGTTGTTGTTTCTGATTTTGATGGTTGGATTTTGCCCTTTTGATCTGGATTGAGTTCTATATCCTTTGTTTTTTTGTTTCTGCAGGTCTTTCGCTTAAATCCCAGGAATTAACGGCTTGTTTTCTAGCTGCTAGGCTGTATTGCAGCTTTGTGATTGAATATGATGTGCACACATTTCTTGACTTGGCTACCTTAATAGCAACGCTTTGGGTTATTTACATGATTCGTTTTAAGCTCAAAGCTAGCTACATGGGAGAAAAGGATAATTTTAAAGTTCTATACTTGGTGAGTCTTCTTGAACTTGGGTTCTTCATCAAGTTCTGGAAAAATTTGTTGTGGGTTCGCACCTTTGAATTGCCCTTTCACAGATATTTGCAAATATGTAGTTTCATTGTTCTTAGAATTTGTATTTTGTAATACTGGCGGCTTAATCAGCCTCCAAGGGGCGGCCCCGTTGGCAAGGGCTCGAGGTCTCTCTGTCATACTGACTTAGAGGTCCCATGTTTGAACCTTCTAGTGAGCTTAATACTCGAAACCTTCACCGTCTATCGGATCTGGGTCTTGGGGTGGGTCTAGGTGCCCCGCGTATAGAGAAGAATACTTGAATGCTTCAAAAATTTGCTTGATGTGTTTATTGTGAGATCCCAAATCGGTTGGAGAGGGGAATGAAACATTTCCTGTAAGGGTGATAGCGATACGTACGGGCCAAAATGGACAATATCTGCTAACTGTGAGCTTGGGCTATTACAAATGGTATGGAGCTAGACACCGGATGGTGTGCCTGCGAGGATGCTGGTCCCCAAAGGGGTGGATTGTGAGATCTCACATCGGGTTGGAGAGGGGAACAAAGCATTCCTTGTAAGGGTGTGGAAATCTCTCCCTAGCAAACGCGTTTTAAAACCGTGAGGCTAATGACGATATGTAATAGGTCAAAGCGGACAATATCTGCTAACAGTAGGCTATTATAATAATCCTTGCGAAATCCATTTTCACGGTACTCTTCAATGGTTATGTCCAACATATAGCTCTTCATGACTCTACTCATTGTATTATTATTCATGGATGCAGGTGGTACCATGTATTTTACTCTCCATTATGATTCATCCAACACCTGCAAGAGTTTCTTTCTTACAAAGAATTTTCTGGGCGTTTTGTGTTTACCTTGAAGCTGTTTCTGTTCTACCTCAGTTGCGAGTCATGCAGAACATCAAGGTTCGCCTCCCCTTTGTTTCCATTCTTTCGTTTTTTTCTCAATGAAAGGTTGGTTTATCATTAAAAGGTGACCATGGATTTTACATATTCACCTGTTCCTTACTCAAAACGGAGGCACGACAGGTCTAAACCCGAATACGTCAATACCTAAGCTTAGTTACAGGTCTAAGTAGGTAAAAGAATACATAAACTTGGAGGTAGATCTAAAGTTCATATCAGTTGCAGCTCTTTTAAATTTTGTAATCCTTTCATTTCTTGCTTCTTGTCCAGATCGTTGAGCCATTCACTGGAAACTATGTATTTGCGTTGGGAGTTGCCAGGTTCTTGAGCTGTGCACATTGGGTTCTTCAGGTTTTTCCATGAATCTCAAACTTCATATCTTGCATTTGATTTTCAAAATTTCATTCAAGCCCTTCAACAACTTTAAACTTCAGTTTTAGCCCATGCTATATATATCCTAAATTTTTATACATGTGTGATTCCACATCGGTTGGAGAGGGGAATGAAGCATTTCTTATAAGGGTGTGGAACTCTCTCTCTAGTGGACGCATTTTAAAATCTTGAAGGGAAGCTCAAAGAGGACAATATCTGCTAGCGGTGGGCTTGGGCTGATATAAATGGTATCAAAGTCAGATACTGGGCGGTGTACCAATGACAGCAACAACCTCCAAGGGGATGGATTGTGTTATCTCACATCGGTTAGAGAGGAGAACGAAACATTCCTTATAAGAGTGTGGAAACCTCTCCCCAGTGGATGTATTTTAAAACCTTGAAAGGAAACTCAAAAGGAAAATTCCAAAGAGGACAATATCTGTTAGCAGTGGGTTTGAGCTATTACGAATGGTATTAGAGCCAGATAACGGGCGGCCCCAATGGAGTGGATTGTGAGATCCCACATCAATTGGAGAAAGGAACGAAACATTTTTTATAAGAGTGTGGAAACTCTCCCTAGTGGTCGTGTTTTAAAACCTTGAGGGGAAGCTCGAAATGAAAAGCCCAAAGGTAACAATATCTGCTAGCGGTTAGCGGTGAGCTCGGGCTGTTACACAGTATTACATGTTATCTGTAATGTATGTATATGTCTTACCTTAACTGATTGCCACCATAATGATAGGGACTAAATTTGTTCTTCGATGAAAACTCGAGTACTAAAATTGAGTTTTTCAAGTCGAAAGGGCCAAAATATGAAGTGATGTAAATTCAAGGGAACTAAAATCAACATTGTTAAAGTTCCTGTACCAAAACCATATTTTAACCAAAGGCTGTCGATTTGATTCTTCATCATTATATCTTTCGTGATTCGTCGACTTTATTGCATGATTTTTTCATCAACGTATATTTCAATATGTGGACTCGAGCGACAGTTAACGTTGTTTCCACCTTTTTTTTTCCTAATACATAGATGGTAGCAACTCGTGGGGGGCTGCTCGTATCGTTGGGAACTGGATTTTGGCCACCTATGGTTCTCCTTGCAGAAATTGTCCAAACTTTTGTTCTTGCAGATTTTTGTTATTACTATGTCAAAAGGTTGGTGCCCTATGATGCCCTTTCAGGATTTCATTCTCTATTGTTATTGGATTGGTTCCTAAAGTTCTATCAATATTTTCCCCTGTTTTGGTGTCAGTTTTCAGAATCTAAATTCTGGGCAATTTAAAAAGTTGTAGTTTTATCATATTCATTGATCGAATTTGTATCCCGTGGTTATTATGAGTACATATGCAGATGTTTTGGTTATTATGAGTACATATGCAGATGTTTGAATCGATATCCATCGAGTCTAAATAGCGATTTCATCTTTGAGCTTCGTTTTTTCTCCATGCTATGTTTGAGTTCTTGAGCTCTTTCAATGCTGTTGTGTTGTTGCAGTGTTCTTGGTGGTCAGCTCGTCGTACGCCTCCCTGCTGGAGTAGTCTAAGATTGAAATGGTGCCAGAGGTGGCTGCCTGTCGTCGCCGTTGTGTGAACGGCGGTGGTGATTTCTGTACATGTTTTTAATCTTATAGTGAACGTTGTGACTGAACTGGAAAAAAAATGCTCCCTAAACCGGTGCTTGTGCATCCTAGATTTTGTGACAAAAATAATAAAGGATGCTATTGACATACATTATCATTCATCATCATTCCAACCATTCAATACGACGACGTACAGTGTTTTTTTTCATTTCAAAACAACTATAAATGTATTATTAAACGAGGTTTATAATAGAAATTCAAAATAATTCAATTACTAAAATGGTTCCATAATAAAAATATGTTACTATTATCGAGTAAAAAAAATGAGGATTTAAATAAAAATTATTGCTACTTTTTTAGAAAAATATAATTATAGTTTTAAATAATATTATATATTATAATTTCTCTTGAATTTTCTTCAAAGTTAAATTATTTTTTCCTTTAATGAAGCATTTGATTCATGGATTTAATTTGATTAAAAAAATTAGATAAGAAAAGTCAAAAAAAAATTATTTATTTTAAATGGTAACTTATTGATATCATAATTTAGTTCATATTAGTAATCAGTTAATATTTAATTATTTTTTTTTTCATTTTATTCTAATTTATATATTAGTTGATGTTTGTATCCTATTTAAATCTTGTGAATATTATTGAAGATTGAACCTCCGATTCCAATTCTATTTTTAATTATGTATGGTTTGATTGAGTAATAATATTTTTTAGATCTATTCACACTTTTGAGGGGTAGATATTGTGTCACAAATGATGCATCAGTCTATTTTCAGGAGCCAAAACAAAAATGGCTTGAATGGACTAAATTTCTAACTTCAAATTTTCATTCCAAACTGAGGCTTAATGAAAAGAACACACGTTCAGACTTAAAATGAAACCAATATAAATACCTTGAAAAGAAAGTTACAAAAATATTGCGTAAAACAATATATTCATGAATGATGATCATATTCACAACCACAAGTAGTTCACCTTTTTCCCCTTTAATTTCCCTTGTTCGTGAAGTGTAAGAAGCAATGGCTCCATTATAGGCCTTTGCTTCACAGCCGGCCGACATGTCGCAACTCCCATGTGCGATTCTGTAGAATTAACAAACTGAGAAAGGACGACAGTGGACCATAAGTTAAAAATGGGTCGAATCCTAAAAAAGCAAGCAGGATTCAGTTGAAGATATAGATTTTCAGTAGTGAAGTGGAAGCGAAGAAACGAAGCTTATTCCTTTTATTTTTTATTTTTTATTTTTATTTTTATTTTTGGGTTTTAATTTTCAGATCTCCATAATTATTATTATTCTCTCATGAGCTTATAAAAGGATGTATTCTTAGTTTCAGTTTCTTTGAAAGTTTTATGTGTATATATACCTGAAAAAACTTCGCTTATTTCGAGCAAATGAAGATGGAGAAACGGTCATACCGATCCGTGAAAGAAGCCGTTGAGCTTTACGGTCAAAGGATTTTAGCTCCCGAGCTCTACGCCAATGTTCTTCAAGAGGTATTGCAATAGTTTGTTTGGAACGATTTTCTAAGTACTTAAAAATCCTTTCAATTCTACCTTAAACCTCTCGTTCTAATTCTATTTGGTTGCATTTTTTTTACCTATTAAATTAAGAAAACTACTAAATACAAAATTGTAAAAATCATTTGAAGGTTCTAAATTTATTATGAACCATAATTGAATTTCTTTGACACAAGTTCATGCACAGAAAAAACGATAAAAAAAATATTGGTAATTTATAACTTAGGTTGGTCTAGTAAATAGGGGCATTTTAGTAAAAAGTAGCCTAGACACCCCTAGCTCATAGTCGTCTATCTTTTTGTGCTCGTATCGCAATTAGAGGTTAACCAATGTGGTTAGACGAAAAAACATAAGTTGTCTGTCTCGACATGTACATAAATTACTCAGTATTGTTTCGTTACTAATGTAGCTAGTGGAAGTAGCTTAATAGTGTAGAGCGTAATCTTGCAAAGGATGGTTAAGAGTTACAGTCTCTCATTCTGCTCATGGCTTTGTGATTTAGTGGTAACGAGTAGAGTGCATAAGATTTCGGACCTATCAACCGATTTTATATAATTTATTATCATTTTGATTTTATAGATGGAGAGCGAAGAGAACGAACACGAGAAGAAGCTTCTAAGGATCAAAAGTGTAAGAGATGAATTGGAGATTGCAAAGCAAAACTTGGAGAAAGCCAAAGAAAGGAGTATAGCTATGGCACGATCTTTCTCTTCTCTACAAGAAGAGCTTGAAGAGACAAAGCGAAAGCTCCAAATGCTCAAAGAAAAATCAGATTACGCCATTGAATTTAATGGCGATTCTTTGAAGTTTGACTTCAAAACACAATCACAGAGATTTGAAGAACAAGAAGAAATTGAAGCCTACGGAAAAAGGCATGCAAAAATGAACGGTGAAGGATTTAAGGATAGCCCATCTTTGAAGAACAAGAAGAAGAACATGGCAAGTAAGAAGAAGAAGGCTATATTATTTATAGAAGGATTTTTTTCCAAGAAAAAGAATTGACTATATATATAATGAAATTAATATTAAAAAAAAACATGTTTTTTTTTTTTTTTAAATAATTCGCAACAATTTCACACTTCTGACTGGTCGAAAGTCATTAGCTATGTCTTTCTACTTGATTTTAGGATTTTTTTTTTTTTTTTTTTTTTTTTTTTTTTTTTTTTTTTTTTTTTTTTTTTTTTTTTTTTTTTTT